TGGTCGCCGAAAGTGCATATTTGGCTACTACTTTGAGTTTAGTCGGCAAAAGGTCTGTTTCTGCCACTAAAGAATTGGTCGCAGAATTAGGCTTTTTGGCTACCAACCTGTGCTGGTCGGGGAAGATTCACTTTTAGCTACAAAAAAATTGGTCGCCGAAAGTGCATATTTGGCTACTACTTTGAGTTTAGTCGGCAAAAGGTCTGTTTCTGCCACTAAAGAATTGGTCGCAGAATTAGGCTTTTTGGCTACCAACCTGTGCTGGTCGGGGAAGATTCACTTTTAGCTACAAAAAAATTGGTCGCCGAAAGTGCATATTTGGCTACTACTTTGAGTTTAGTCGGCAAAAGGTCTGTTTCTGCCACTAAAGAATTGGTCGCAGAATTAGGCTTTTTGGCTACCAACCTGTGCTGGTCGGGGAAGATTCACTTTTAGCTACAAAAAAATTGGTCGCCGAAAGTGCATATTTGGCTACTACTTTGAGTTTAGTCGGCAAAAGGTCTGTTTCTGCCACTAAAGAATTGGTCGCAGAATTAGGCTTTTTGGCTACCAACCTGTGCTGGTCGGGGAAGATTCACTTTTAGCTACAAAAAAATTGGTCGCCGAAAGTGCATATTTGGCTACTACTTTGAGTTTAGTCGGCAAAAGGTCTGTTTCTGCCACTAAAGAATTGGTCGCAGAATTAGGCTTTTTGGCTACCAACCTGTGCTGGTCGGGGAAGATTCACTTTTAGCTACAAAAAAATTGGTCGCCGAAAGTGCATATTTGGCTACTACTTTGAGTTTAGTCGGCAAAAGGTCTGTTTCTGCCACTAAAGAATTGGTCGCAGAATTAGGCTTTTTGGCTACCAACCTGTGCTGGTCGGGGAAGATTCACTTTTAGCTACAAAAAAATTGGTCGCCGAAAGTGCATATTTGGCTACTACTTTGAGTTTAGTCGGCAAAAGGTCTGTTTCTGCCACTAAAGAATTGGTCGCAGAATTAGGCTTTTTGGCTACCAACCTGTGCTGGTCGGGGAAGATTCACTTTTAGCTACAAAAAAATTGGTCGCCGAAAGTGCATATTTGGCTACTACTTTGAGTTTAGTCGGCAAAAGGTCTGTTTCTGCCACTAAAGAATTGGTCGCAGAATTAGGCTTTTTGGCTACCAACCTGTGCTGGTCGGGGAAGATTCACTTTTAGCTACAAAAAAATTGGTCGCCGAAAGTGCATATTTGGCTACTACTTTGAGTTTAGTCGGCAAAAGGTCTGTTTCTGCCACTAAAGAATTGGTCGCAGAATTAGGCTTTTTGGCTACCAACCTGTGCTGGTCGGGGAAGATTCACTTTTAGCTACAAAAAAATTGGTCGCCGAAAGTGCATATTTGGCTACTACTTTGAGTTTAGTCGGCAAAAGGTCTGTTTCTGCCACTAAAGAATTGGTCGCAGAATTAGGCTTTTTGGCTACCAACCTGTGCTGGTCGGGGAAGATTCACTTTTAGCTACAAAAAAATTGGTCGCCGAAAGTGCATATTTGGCTACTACTTTGAGTTTAGTCGGCAAAAGGTCTGTTTCTGCCACTAAAGAATTGGTCGCAGAATTAGGCTTTTTGGCTACCAACCTGTGCTGGTCGGGGAAGATTCACTTTTAGCTACAAAAAAATTGGTCGCCGAAAGTGCATATTTGGCTACTACTTTGAGTTTAGTCGGCAAAAGGTCTGTTTCTGCCACTAAAGAATTGGTCGCAGAATTAGGCTTTTTGGCTACCAACCTGTGCTGGTCGGGGAAGATTCACTTTTAGCTACAAAAAAATTGGTCGCCGAAAGTGCATATTTGGCTACTACTTTGAGTTTAGTCGGCAAAAGGTCTGTTTCTGCCACTAAAGAATTGGTCGCAGAATTAGGCTTTTTGGCTACCAACCTGTGCTGGTCGGGGAAGATTCACTTTTAGCTACAAAAAAATTGGTCGCCGAAAGTGCATATTTGGCTACTACTTTGAGTTTAGTCGGCAAAAGGTCTGTTTCTGCCACTAAAGAATTGGTCGCAGAATTAGGCTTTTTGGCTACCAACCTGTGCTGGTCGGGGAAGATTCACTTTTAGCTACAAAAAAATTGGTCGCCGAAAGTGCATATTTGGCTACTACTTTGAGTTTAGTCGGCAAAAGGTCTGTTTCTGCCACTAAAGAATTGGTCGCAGAATTAGGCTTTTTGGCTACCAACCTGTGCTGGTCGGGGAAGATTCACTTTTAGCTACAAAAAAATTGGTCGCCGAAAGTGCATATTTGGCTACTACTTTGAGTTTAGTCGGCAAAAGGTCTGTTTCTGCCACTAAAGAATTGGTCGCAGAATTAGGCTTTTTGGCTACCAACCTGTGCTGGTCGGGGAAGATTCACTTTTAGCTACAAAAAAATTGGTCGCCGAAAGTGCATATTTGGCTACTACTTTGAGTTTAGTCGGCAAAAGGTCTGTTTCTGCCACTAAAGAATTGGTCGCAGAATTAGGCTTTTTGGCTACCAACCTGTGCTGGTCGGGGAAGATTCACTTTTAGCTACAAAAAAATTGGTCGCCGAAAGTGCATATTTGGCTACTACTTTGAGTTTAGTCGGCAAAAGGTCTGTTTCTGCCACTAAAGAATTGGTCGCAGAATTAGGCTTTTTGGCTACCAACCTGTGCTGGTCGGGGAAGATTCACTTTTAGCTACAAAAAAATTGGTCGCCGAAAGTGCATATTTGGCTACAAAAAACTTTGGCAACATATATGTATTATTGGGTACTAAGTACAAGAAAATATTGAATACATATATTTCCTTGTCACATACTTACATGCAGCTCACGGCATTTTGGATGGATCCAGTCATTCGTTTTCTTTGAAGTGTGGCTGTCCTCATAGAACTTTGGGAAATCCAACTCTCCATCTTTTGCTACCTGTTAACACATCAATGTATAAATCAATGACACTTTATGCACCAAACAGACAAATTTCCATGAACAGATTTTTAAACAAATTGCTGGACAGATTGGGAGACAGATTTGGAGACAGATTTTTAGACAGATTTTCTGCCAGATTTGCAGCCAGATTCGAATTCAAAGAGATTATCATTAACAGATTTATATGAGCTATGTTACTAGACTAATGATTGGGTGTTCTTCTTAAGTATGAGATGATCTTTTCCTTATGGGCCAATTGAATATGGTGTTATTCTTAAGATATTTAGACTGTAGTACTTAGCACCAAAGTTTGTCTCTCACTAAGAATTTTCCATCCCAGTTTAATGAGAAGGGATGCATTGTGATCTTTAGCTTTTCTAATACCTAGTCCCCCTTCAACTTTTGTTTTACACACATTATCCCAACACACCAAATGAACTTTATTCCTGCTATCAGTGTCCCTCTAGAGAAAATTTATGTTCAATCTGTCAATATCATTACAAAGGCTCCTAGGAAGTTCCATAGTTTGCATGTTGTAACTGGGAATAATTGAGGTCACAGACAAAATGAGAGTGGTTCTGCCAGCAAGAGATAGATTTCTAGCTTTCCACCCTGAGAGTCTAGTCTTCATCCTTTCCATGATCTCATTGAACATGGTCTTGTTAACTCTTTTATGGAGAAGTAGGGATCCCAGGTATTTACCAAGATCTTACGTCAGGGGGATCCTACTTTCAAACTGCCATGGTCATAGCTTTATGTCTAGGAAGGTTAGAAGAGGCAAAAAGTTTAGATTTAGCATGGTTGACTTTCTGCCCAGACACATCACAAAATTCAATGAGAACATCCATGATAATTTCACAGTTGGGTTCATCAGCAAAGAACAAGTGAGAAAGTGGGGGACTATTTCTAGAGGCTTTAATGCCCTTCCAAGTGCGATCTTTAACTTTCGAAGTGATCATGTTTGAGAGTCTTTCTATATAGAGTACAAAGAGGTAAGGTAAGGTAAGATTGGGTCACCTTCCCTTACGTCCCTTTCATTATGGATACCATTAATCACTTCTCCATTCCAAAGTATGGAGGAGTGGCTATTACTAACATAGCTCATAATCAAATTAACCCAATCCTCATTGATTTTAAATTCAAACAGATTATGTCCAACAGATTTATATGAGCTATGTTACTAGAGATTATCAAACAAAATTTCTCAAACAGATTATGTCCAACAGATTTTCGCACATAGCCACTTATAATCACTTCAGATTATGTGTATTATAACATGTGTATGTACAGGAATATCTGTTTTTTATGAATGTATTAACTTAAATCTAAAACACAGAGCTACAAGACTAATGATCTTAAGTGAAAAACAGAGTATAGTTTAGATCTTGGGCAGTATATATAGTTCAGATTGTGTATGAATTAGTGTAGACAGATTTAGTAAAACTATTGTGTATACTGTATTATAGTGTAGTATAGTGTACACAGATTTATAAATCTAAACTATACACAATCTGTATTATAGTTTAGACAGATTTTTAGAGTATAGTTTACATTTTGTAGTATAGTGCAGTATATATAGTTCAGATTGTGTATTATAGTGTAGACAGATTTATATATACTGTATTATAGTGTATACAGATTGTGTATTATAGTGTATTATAGTGTAAACAGAGTATAGTTTAGATTTTGCGAGACAGATTTCGAAAGAAAGACAGAGTATAGTGTAGGCAGATTTAGAATGCAAACATGTGGCAAGGGTATCATTAACAGATTTTTTCCAGACAGATTTTTTGCAGACAGTACATCTTTACTAACAGAGTTTAAAATATATATATATATATATGTGTAGGAGAACATAACATTTTTCATATCCAAACAACATATAATGGATTCAAGTTTAAAAAAAATCGAACTCACCATAGCAGCCATTGCGATAGGAAATGAGCGAGACCCATTGGTATGATTGTACGGCAATTGACTCCTATTACTCTTGCCCGCTTTTGACCGTTTCTAAAAATAAGTCAAGCAGATAAACAATTTTTTTGTCAATATTAAGGCATATCACATTTTCACATAGATGTATGTACTCTATCTAGTCTGTTATTTTACCTGGTGAGATGCATCTTGCCATGCCACATCAATCAAATGCTTCCAATTATCTAAACTCACCCCTACGGGCGGATGACCATAGATCTCATCACGTGGAAGTCCTTCTAACAATTCAAACTCTTGCTTCAAGGTGTACCTCCAATCTTTGTACAACCCATAGGCCTTCTTATTCACAATCTCCTGTGCTTGTAAGTCATTGTGGAAATCGTCTCCAATTTGAAACTTGTCCTACATGCAAAACAAATTGAAATAGTAATCATTACATATTAGTCTTTCTTATTACTCACATAATACAATTACATATTGTGGACAAGTAATATTAGTTACAAGAACTCCTTGGATGACGGCAGCTTTTGTAGTCTCATCAAGATCCAGCCATGACTTCACATCTTTCAAAGGGCACAAGGTTCTAATTTGAATTCCTAACTCGTTAGTTGCTGGAGTGGCATACTTGCCAGTCATTGCATTCAACCCACGATCGATGTGAACATAACATTTTTCCCCTTTGTTGGCTCTAATTATTTTTTGTATGCCCTTGCCAAGTGTCGGTCCACGTACACGTAGGGGCTTCGAAGTCCCTGTTAACAACATAACATCATGAAAATTGCCTAAAATTTGGCTACAAAAAAACAATGGCAATGGCATGTGGTAATTGACAAATTTTATACACTTTATTCTTACCTACGCCACTCGGCTGCGTTTCGGATGGGGCTTGTGTCTCATCAGAATCATCCATTGGTTGGCTAGTGACATGATGAGATGGTCCCACATTTGATCGGACGGGTAGAACAGGAGACGGAGCAACGGGTGATCCTAAAGGAATAGCAGCTAGCGAGTCTGTTTCTGGCTACGTGAGTGTCTTCTTCCGAAGCCGACCAGTCTTTAAGCCAGGAACCATTTTCCAATCTGCAATAACATAAGTAACACTATATACATGAACTAGACAAAAATAAGTTCGCTTGATTATTGCAGACAAAAATAATACATGAACTATACAATAACATAAGTAACACCATTTTCCATTTTCCAATATGCCATGATATGCTTGCTTTAGTTAGTTTGGACAAAAAATAATTTTGAAGGCATGAACTAACTCAACTAATTTAGAAACTGAGAAGTTCATTAAAAGCACCCCCAAATTCATACAGATACAAGGATGAGCTAGAGCTCAGGCAAAGTTCCTCCTTTGGTACTATCTTGCAATGCATTGCATTTGTTTGCATCAACTACGCCAACCAATAAAAACTGAAAAAGAAAATACATTGCCTACCTAAAGTAAGCTCTAAAAAAACCTGCACTTCTCAACATATCTAAAGCATATGATTCATGAAAATCTAGTATTCACAACTGCAGAGAAAAGATCAAAGTACAATTCAAGTAACTAAACTACCTCAACAGATATGCAGCGGCTTTGGCTCCTGTATCTTTTGAAATTAGGTAAGTTTAGAAGCACTTGATGATCATAGTGTAACTGCAAACAAGTTAGGAGTGCATGTATTACTTTATTTAATAACTTCACCTGGTAAGTGAAGAATAGAACATAAAGGCATTTTCTTTGTATCAACGAAATAAAAGTATATACATTGGGATAAGAAGTCTTAGTTGTTCCCATTATCTATAAATATTGAACTTGCCTCTGCAAGAAAAAGATGGAATAGGTGTATGGGGTTGAAAAGGTTTGAAACATTATAAAGCATATCATCACATCTGTCTTGGCAGACCCTACATGCAAACAAAAAAAATCATTAAAGACTTCTTAGCAACCAATACTCTTAATAACCACTAAAACTATTCTACCATGTGTTGCTTACTGTTGCTTGGCACCAAAGGACACGAGAAACAGTTGCAAGAGCACTTCAAATAGGATATCGTCCTACAAATCAACAGTAGACAAGAAATTAGGATATAGCAGGTCTAAAGAAAGGCACATATTCTACGAACAAGAAATTAAACGATTAATAAATTAATATAACCATTCAAGCTACACGAGCAACTATATAAACTGAACTTAGGTTGACCCGTAGACTGCCTATCAATAGCAAAAAATATTCTGTGATTTTTTATCAAACTGAACTTAGGATATAGCAGGTCTAAACTATTTTTTATCAAATGCTCTTCTTTTGCTTCTTTAAAGTCAATGTCCATGTTCTCTCAATAGCAAAAAATCTTCTAAATTGGTAAACAAACAATACTCAAGAAAACCATAAAATAGAGCAGAGGCAGACTGTTCAAAATCTATTCAAAATCTGTTCAAAATCTGATACATATTTCTAAGCCAGACTGTTCAAAATCTGTACACATACATATTACAATTGAATTCAAACTAACCCTTCCACACTAACCCTTCCTTCATTTATTCATGGTTAACTCTTATTCTAATCTCTATCTACAAAACCATAAAATAGCAACAACAAAGCATAAACAGAGCAGAGGCAGCCCCAAACTTGAACCTAAAAACATCCACACAGTTGCAGCACAACAAAAACCCATTGCAAAACAGAGCAGCAACCAGACAAAACCAGCTTTACAGCCATACCAGCCATACCAGCATAGCTGCAGCCAAACAAATGCAGACCAGCTCAGAGCTTCCTATATCAGATGCATTCTACCAAAAGGCACCATTCAGTTACATTCCACCAGCACACCCCATAGTAACCCATTGCACAAACTGCCATGCTGACCATTAAATACACCAACCATTCAGATCTTCAATGAATGCAGGTTTAACTGGGCTCAACTCACAATTTGACCAGCATAGCTGCAGCCAAACAAGATGCAGACCAGCACCCTTCCATTTGACAGCAGCCCAACAAAGCACCACATTTAAAGTAGGCCAACCATTTGACAGCAGCTCCAGAGAATGTACTCCAGGCCCCCTCAGAAAACATTCTACTTGACACAGTAAGCAGCAGTTAGATACCAAAGCTACACCATAAACTTCACTACCAAAGATACACAAAAAATGCCTCCCACTACATTCTGGACAGCAACCCTTCCAGGGCAGATCAGCAAAGGCAGGGCAGAGATAAACCAGAGGAAAAAAAACATAGAATGGCAGAGAACAAAAACATGAGTTCAGGGACTGCACTTCTGTACTGAGTGGGTACACCCACAGCAAAACTCCACCCATTTCAGTTTCGATTAGTTGCCTTAAACACACATTGATTTCTGAGTTTATTGACATTGACGAAGACAGATCCCCCTTCATTATTTTGAGTTTCCTTTGCATTTGTGCACCAATTGAACATTCACATTGCTCAAATTATGGCATGAACTAAAGCACGACCAAATTCAAGATTCTACATCAACATCTGTATCAAAATCACTTTGTAGGTCATATTCTTCGTCTGTGTCGTCACCCTCCCTCATTAATCGATCTTCATCATCACAGATGAAGGCATTATCTGTAACACCCTTTTCTACCCCTCTGACAGATTGCAAAACTTCCATGGGAATAATTTCAGAATCAATATCATCTCGACGCAAAGCCACATCATCATCAATAGCCATAGTAGGTACGACCTCGGTGGTTTCTTCTTGTTGGAACACATCATCAGGTTGTACAACATCCATCTCCGGCACATCCCAAATTCCTTGATGTTGAAACTTTTCAACGACTCTCCAACTGGTACCTAATTTGGTGTCATTAACATAGAATACTTGTTCAACTTGACTTGGTAATACAAATGAGTCATCTTTGTACCAACGACTTGTTACATCAACTGTTGTGAAATGTGGCTCTACACGCATAGTTCTACTACTACCGCTGTTAAACCATTCACATTGGAACAATACAATCCGACGTGTGAACAAATAGTTCAATTCCCACACTCTGCACAAGTGTCCATAGAAGTGTATCAATTGCCCTTCATGCTCCCCTTCCACGACTAATCCACTATTCTGACTTTTCCGACAGTTGTCACGGTCGATAGTATGATAACGGACACCATTACAAATACATCCTGAATATGTGTTCACTAAGCCACTAGGACCATTGGCTAATGACCACATATCATCAGTTGCTTCAGGGGAATGTTGGCTCCGCAATTCATTCATCTACATGAAGAACATGTGTCATGTTACTAGCATGCGTAACATTTACGTAATGTACGATCTATGGTAGGATATGAGAATACTAGCTTACATGATCTTTGAACCATTTAGGAAATTCTTTCCGATGTCTGTTTTCGATGTCGAACGCACCGACTCTTTGGTGTAACAAGTTCTTGTGCTCCCTAGTTACAAGAAATGCGATTCAAAAACTATTTACTAAGATAAAGACAAATCAATTTACAACAAAAACATTATAAATACGTTTGAAGGATTCATACTCTACGTGTTTATCCACTTCTGTGCTATTGTGTAGGACAAACCAATGAGCCAACTCGCGTTCAGCTACGGACACATCGGACGCCCTTGTCATTAGACCAAAGGGACGTACAGTTTGAGTGAATACCGCCAACCCTAGGCCACGGTCACCCATGTCATAATTCCTTTCTGGGCGGTTAAACAATGTTTCAACTCCATCCAAATACATTGAAGAAAATGTTGTACATTCTTTGGAAATGTAAGCCTCGGCAATAGAACCTTCAGGATGAGCTTTGTTGGCCACAAACCCTTTTAGACGGCCAAGCAACCTAATTTTGCAAGCATCATAACAATGTTATACTGCAATAATTATATTAGCAGTAAAGCATTAACTTAAATTTGACAGTAATACGAGGGCTGAGTTAATACCTCTCAATTGGGTACATTCATCGATATTGCACTGGGCCTTCAAGCATAGCCTCTCGAGGCAAATGAATTGCCAAGTGGACCATGACATCGAAAAAAGCCGGCGGGAAAAGCATCTCAAGCTTACAAAGTATGAGTACGATTTGTTCATCCAATTTATGCAAATCTGAGCGCCTCAATGTCTTTGAACACAATTGTTTGAAGAAATTTCCCAACTCAAAAAGTGTCGTTCCAATTTCCTTATTCAAGTAGCCACGCATCCCAATTGGAAGAAGTCGTTGTATAAGGACATGACTGTCATGACTTTTGAGGCCAGATAATTTTCCAGCTTGAGCGTTTACGCAATTGGAGATATTTGCTGCATAGCCATCAGGGTACTTTATTGATTTCAAGAAATCACAAAAGCCTTCTCTCTCTTTCACCGACAATGTGAACAATGCGGTAGGCTTCTCAAAGGACCCATTAGAACGCCTCTTCAAATGTAACTCTTTACGTATTTTCATGTCCTCCAAATCTAAGCGTGCTTTGTCCGTGTCCTTGTTCTTTCCATCTACGCTCAAAAGTGTCCCAACGACATTGTCACATATGTTCTTCTCAATATGCATGACATCAAGGTTGTGTCGAAGCTTCAACGTCTTCCAATAGGGCAAGTCAAACATAATGCTTCTCTTGCTCCAATTCAAATTTTGATGTTCATTCCTTTGTCGTTTTTGATTTTGTGGGTGCTTCCCATACGGCTTGTAAGTCCCAGAATCAATTTGCTCTAGTATTTGGTCCCCCGATAACTCCAAAGGTTTGGACCTATACTCCGTTTGACCATTGAAGAGCTTACTTGTTCGCCAAGTGTGGTTCTCAGTCAAGTGGTGACGAGCACCCATATACCCTATTTTACTTCGTAATCCCTGAGACGATGCATTATTGTTACAATTAGGGCAAGCCAAGTAACCCTTTGTACTCCACCCTGACATGTTACCGTACGCAGGGAAGTCATTTATGGTCCACATTACCGCCGCATGCATTCTAAAAATTTGCCCGTTCGATGCATCATATGTTTGCACACCATGC